TGGCAGTTAGGGTTGCCAAATGAAAAAATCCTACCGGCGGGGGAGCGTCCTGCTGCTCCGGGGGCCGGTCGGGAAGTGCGCGCGTGCCGCCGGAGCGCCGCCGGAAGTGACGTCACACGCTGGGCGGGGCCACACCATTTGAGGGGAAAACTCCCGATTCCCTGGCGTCTGGGAACGGAGCCTCCGGGGCGGGGGATTTCCGCCCTACCGGGGGAGTTGGCAGCCCTAGTGGCAGTCCAAACCCCATGAAAAACTGCCTACATGTCACAATCAATGTTCCCTCTAAGCTGTGGAGTCTTATGAGCAAAAGATTCTACTTTGTAAGCCACTGGTATTAAAGGTGTGAGTCAACCATTTGGCAACTGCATAGATTAGTTCGCTCTGGAGCCATCCTTCCTGAGCTAACACAAAAATGTGTGAGCCAGAGGCTAAAAAACTGTGAGCTAGCTCACCCTAACTCAGCTTAGAGGGAACATTGGTCACAATCATCTATGTGCTTCTGACAACTAGAACCTCTGTCTTCTCTGGATTAAGCTGGGGCTTGTTCACCATAAACTATTCCATTATTATTGAAATAGTCCAAAACAATCAGTAAAAAAGAGAATTAGAGGTGGATGGCATCTGAATATTGGGAGAATCTCTCGCAAAATATCTCCTAGTGGCTTAAGTGTATAGAGAACTGTGCAAACCAAAGACCATAGGTCATAGCAACAGTGTCTATTTCTTTCTCCCTCCCTCCCTCCCTCCCTCCCTTTTCCTTGTTTCCTTTCCTATCCAACGTCTTTCTTTTAGTTTCCAAAAAGCTGGTACACTCCAGAACATGGAGGAAGCTAGGGTGACCAAAGGTGGACTGGGGCAAGAATTCAAAAGAACAACTAACCCAAGAAAAAAGATCAAATGACCCCAGCAATCTAAGCTCCCTTACGTTGCTGAATCACTGTAAGCATTGTAGTACCTGGCAACTGCAAACTGTGTCCTCTGCTTTCCACAGTTGTTCACACAACTGATCACAAGCTGAACATGAGCCTGCAGTGCAATGTGGCCGTGAAGAAAGCTAATGCTATCTTAAGATGCATTAACGGAAACATTGTGTCCAGATCCCGGGAGGTGGTAGTTCCGCTGTATTCTGCGATGGTCAGGCCTCACCTGGAGTACTGTGTCCAGTTCTGGGCACCACATTTTAGGAAGGATGTTGACAAGCTCAAGCGTTTCCAGAAGAGGGCAACCAGGATAGTGAGAGGGTTGGAGTCCAAGTCTTATGAGGAAAGGCTGAAAGAGTTGGGTATGTTTAGCCTGGGAAAGAGAAGACTTAGAGGGGACATGATTGCAGTCTTCAAATATTTGAAGAGCTGTCATGTAGAAGACGGAGCAGATCTATTCTCCCTTGCTCCGGATTGCAAGACTCTAATGGGTGGAAATTACAAGGGAGTCTTTACTGGCTAAATATCAGGAGAAACTTCCTAATTGTGAGAGTGGTTGAGCAGTGGAATAGACTGCCTTGGAAGGTGGTGGATGCTCCTTCGCTGGATGTTTTTAATCTTTCGGGTATGTTGTAGGGCTATCTTTCGGCTACGCTCCTGCAGAGTACAGGGGGTTGGACTAGATGACCTGCAAGCTCTAACATTCTATGATTCTATGTTCTCAACAGAAGCAGCCAGAAATTCATTTCCCCTTCTCAAACACTGTTCATATAATGGCAGGTGGCAAACCCCTGAACCATTTGAGCTTTTTGGCCAGCTGCCTATTAGCAATTAGAACTAGAATGACAATACAACTAAAGCCAAACATATGATTCCAAGAGATAAATAATTTTTGTCAGCTGAAGTCAATTCCAGTTGAATTTTTTAAATTAGTGGCTTTGTTTGGATCAAGTCAGTCTTATGAATGCCTCAACACACATAACCAAATGGTCTTAGTTCCAAACAATGGACTTAGGCTCAGTAGGTGGTGAATGTGTCCTTAGCAATAATTAGCATTGATGGCAGAGTAGTCAAAGATAGATTTCATTAAGTCTTGGCTACAAGGAGCGAGTTTAGTTATCTTTTTGAAGACCAGGTAACAGGTCTATCTATCTATTGTACATTAGTATGCACTTCAGTCTGCTCTCTAGTTGCTAATGCACTGAAGTTTTCCATAACTACAACAACTCTTCTCCAAAAGGTGTTTCTGTGACCTTATTTTCTTTACCACATTACTCCAATGTTCGAGCAGAGTAGACTTTTGAATTAGACATATTATTAGAAGACATATCTGAGTTTGGAGTATCTTATTACAATATCATTTTGGCTAATAATTATCAGAAAGGCTAATTTTTATGCACACTTTTCCCTTTCTGTTAGTACAATTAAAAATGCAGCAAGAGCAGTTCAGACACTACTAAGAAGAAGATGATATTGGATTTATACCCCGCTCTTCACTCTGAGTCTCAAAGCGGCTTACAAACTTCTTTCCCTTTCCCTCCCCACAACAGACACCCTGTGAGGTAGGTGGGGCTGAGAGAGCTTTTTCAAGAACTGCTCTTTCAAGCTCTGAGAGAACTATGCCTTGGCCAAGATCATCCAGCAGCTGCAAGTGGAGGAGTGGGGAATCAAACCCGGTTCTCCCAGATTAGAGTCCACACACTCAACCAGTACACCAAAGGCAAAGTTAGTTCGAAAAATGAATAGGCAGCTTTACACTATGAACAATAAGTTCCCTCTATTTAAGTATTGCCACTTTCACTTTCATAATTCCTACCAGGACCTTGGCATTGGTAGTGACCTTATAGCGATCCTTACAAAATCCACTCAAGCAGTGCCAGGACATGGAAATAGATACTTGGGACAATTACAGTGAAACTTGTCAGAGAATGTTATTTAATAATTTGAAAGTTCATAATAAAACTGCAGTTGCTTCTTTCTCATACTCTTTTGACATTGTCAAAAGTCCTCAACCAAGCCCTAGCTAAGGACTTTTGGGGAGATGGGCTTACAAGAAACAAAATTACAAAAAAAACCCAGCATGAGGCTTGTCCTCATACTAAGACAGTAGGCTTGCTCACAACCTTTATGCTAGTAGCTCTTTTGGCTCACAAAATAGAATTTTGTGGTTCCATGGTTGACCGTTCAGATTATTGATTAGGGTTGCCAAATGGGCCCGGGGGGCGGGGAATCCCCCGCTTTGGTGGCCCTGATTTCCGCCCCGGCGGAATCGGGTCCTGGGGGGAACCCTGCCCCCGAAGCTGCATCACCGGAGGTGACGCAGCCACGTTGCTGACTTTGGGGGCGTGGCTGAGCTCGTTGGGGGCAAAACCATATGGTTTTCCCCCCGACGAGCCCGGCCACGCCCCCAACGTCAGCAACGTCGCACGTCACTTCTGGTGACGTGTGGCCGGCGCGCGCGCTTCGTCCCAAACTCCCGGACGCCGGCAAGGCTCCCCCACTCCCAGGGGTGAGTCAATTTGGCAACCCTATTATTGATGCGCAGCAACCACGGAGTGGGCAGTCGGGCGGCATCCTTCCTTTAAAAATTGTCTTTCATGCATGTGCAGAAGCGCTCATTTAAAGTGCCACTCCATTTTGACAGCTCCACGATCCCTCCGCCAAGTACTGCAGCCCCTTTTAGCCTCCTCCTCTTTGCCTATCTTCCTTGGAATACACGGAGAAAGTGTGAATATCTTTACATGCATATTTACATTAGAGTAGCTCCATTGACTCCAGTACATTTACTCTTGTGTCAATCATGGGATGATCTCAAACAGCAACTCTGAAGCAGAAAACAGTTTGCATGGGGGAAAGTGAGATGGGGAGTTGAGTCGCCAGCTCCAGGCAGGGAAATTCCTGGATATTTGGGGATGGAGCCTGAGGCGGACAGGGACTTCAGCGGGGTACAATGCCATAAAGTCCACCTTCCAAGGCATTCATTTTCTCCAGGGGAATTGATCTCTGTAGTCTGGTTAACATCCACGCCCCCACTTCAGCCAAGGTCCATGCCCAGAAAGCCCTGCACACACTTTGGGAGCAGATATTCAGCCCAAGTTTGCTCAGAAGCAAGGCTGCCTGGATTTTAAATTTTTTCCAGCTTCACAGTCTCCATGAATTAGAGACGCCAGCCTCCCCAGGTTCCCTGCCAACATGGGAGACTAACTAGGGACTATTTTCACAGCTTTCCAACCCCAAAAAACAGGAGAGAAGGGGGGGGACTCAAAAACAACTCCCCTGGGGGCTCCTGATCCTGACAGAATGTTTGGGTGCAGAAACATTCAAGCACAGATTCAGAACCCTGGGGCGAAGATCCACTTATGTGCACATTGCTAACTGGATTGTTTTAAATGGTGCAAAGACAAAAGTGTGCAATCAGACTTCAGCCAAGGTCCATGCCCAGAAAGCCCTGCACACACTTTGGGAGCAGATATTCAGCCCAAGTTTGCTCAGAAGCAAGGCTGCCTGGATTTTAAATTTTTTCCAGCTTCACAGTCTCCATGAATTAGAGACGCCAGCCTCCCCAGGTTCCCTGCCAACATGGGAGACTAACTAGGGACTATTTTCACAGCTTTCCAACCCCAAAAAACAGGAGAGAAGGGGGGGGTTTGCCACTCAAAAACAACTCCCCTGGGGGCTCCTGATCCTGACAGAATGTTTGGGTGCAGAAACATCCAAGCAGTGATTCAGAACCCTGGGGCGAAGATCCACTTATGTGCACATTGCTAACTGGATTGTTTTAAATGGTGCAAAGACAAAAGTGTGCAATCAGACTTCCCAAATGGCTTGAGAACTATTGGGTTGATCAGACATCCAGAAATGTGGGGTGAAACCACTGACATCCGTAAACACCGGACTTTCCCCAGTGTCAAATAACTTAGATTCGAAGTCGGGTAAGAACAGGGTGCTGAGTGGAATGGGAGACAGATGTTGCTGTCTGAACCTGCATTTTAAATCTGCAGGCAACAGCAATGACATCGGATCAAACAGCTCATCTGACTGCAGCCTAGTACAGGTTCACATAGTGGGACTTCTACTTACCCAGGTTATACCACATGTCTCGGATCTCAAAGCCAATTTGTCTCCTCATATCACCATACCTATGAAGAACACAAATATATCAAGAACAAGCTTTGTGTAACATTTCTATCTTCAACAGCTACCATAATCAAGTTGCTGATAGAAAATGAAAAGCATAAAAAATACCAATGAGGACTAAATGGCATGGTCATTATTTAGGATCCTAATGTACCTTACACACTTGAGCCATTTAAGCAATTAAAATTAGATGCTTGTTAGGCAATACAACTACCTGTTGCAAATGGAATAAAGAGCATGCAGAGGATTAAATGGCAGTCTGAAGTACATACAAAAGGATGATTTCAAAAATAAAACCAACCCCAAACCAAAACTTAAATATGACAGGCCCCAGTCTAATATCTGCATTTCTTTCCTTGCTTGGAGGAAAAAAGACGCTCTGCTTTGTACAGCTTTTTCTGTAAACGTTTCACCTATGGGAATCTCACTTTGCCTTATCGGCATATTACATAACTGTCCCTTGGGAATGAGGGGGTGGCTGTGTAGATTAATGAGAGTATTATCCATTTCTCAGACTCTAATAGCTAGAGAAAACAAACTGCACAGCTTTAGGAATATTTTATTTTTATGCATATTTTTAGCATACATTGACTGCCCTAGAAAATGAACTAAGAGGCACCATATTCCAGCAGGTATCAAGGACATCCAAATCACATGAATTAGCAGTTATGTGCAATTTGAGCTACCACACAACCTTCGTGATATTCCAAGAGAGCTAAATGTAAACCATCCCAAAAAGCTGCAGAAAACTGAGACATAAATAGAAGATAAATCTATTTTGGAGCTGGCACTGGCAAATGAAGAAAAAAAACCTGGATGAATGCATACACCTTGGAAAAACCTAATCCTAACCAATAAAAGCATGAGAATTTTTTAAAATGAAGACAGAATATGATAGGGCAACTCCAAAATGTTTTGAAAAAACTTATTCCAACTAATTCAGAGAGTTAAATGTCTCAAATCAAGAATAGGGAACAAGAGCCCCCACCCCACCCCGACATGCAGACTGGCTTGGTCCAGATGTAACAGCTTGCCACTGTGCAAATAAGCTTGGGAGATTCTCATGCTCACAACTCCTTCCCTGTCCACTTTCATGTGCAGCCAAATAATTGCATATTTCCAGTTTTGTGGGAAACCTAGTTTACCATTATATTCTAAATGGACAGCTATGATTCATTAAACCACTGTTTGAAATCCGGGTATATGGAGAAAATGCAAACCATCATTCACTAGATAAAGTGTATCAACAAATTATGGTTTGCTGCTGAAGAACCGAAAGTGGACTAGCGATGGTGGTCACTCTCTCTGACCCACAGAGGAGCGATTAGCACACCTGCGACATGGAGGGGTGCCAGCTCAAGTGGCACCTCCACGGAGCTCTCGAGAAGGGCTCCAAGCTAGAGGGCTTTTGAGGGTTAGCTTCTTCGACGGCTATTTGCCAAAGAATAGAGGCTTCCCTCCGCCCTGACGGTCCGGTTGCTGGGTGACAGAGTTAGCTGGTTGCGCTGAGTGGCCTTCAGCGCGAGAGAAGTTTGACTGGGGCAAGCGCGAGAGATCCAGTGGAATAACGATGAATGGGAGCAAGATCTGATTGAAGACCGACAATGAACGTGAGTTCTGTTTGAGTGGACTGATTGATAAGCAAATCCACCCCCCCGTGGGAAAGCGGAGAGCAGGGAGGGACGCCTCCTATGCGCATAAAGAGTTAAGCGAAGGGGGAGAGGGGGGAAGAAAACAGCGATTTGTTTTGAGAGACTTATCTGAGAGCCTGCTGCGAAACGACGAGCCCTTCGAGCCTTTGTATAACGGTTTGAATTTGTAAACGAATTGGAAAAATGGCGGCGACATGAGGAAAGTTAAATCCGAAACCGGGTAGTCAGAGCCCGAGGCCAGAGGAGGGAACTGACGTCATGAAGCTGCTAGCGGATATGCTAGTCGGTGATAGAGCAACTCAATGGTATTAACCAGCAGCTGACCTCGTTGAATCAAAACTTCGCTTTACAACAGCATCAGTTGGCAGAAACAGACAAGAAAGTGGAACAAGTAACAGGAAAAATAGTAGAGATAGACACCGGCAATAAAAAGATGAAGAAAAGAGTGGGAGAAGTTGAAAGAAGGCATAACCTTCAAGGAAATCGTTTGCTACAGCTCCAAATGGAAAAGGCTAACATGATTCTTAGGTTCCAGGGGGTCCCTGAAACCGAAAAAGATTTGAAGGAGACTCTGGCCAAGGCTATCGCTCCAGTTACAGGCTTATCAGCGGAAGAAATAGTAAAAGATATGGAGACTGTCTATAGGGCATACTCCAATTATATTAAAAAAAAATAGCCTGCCTGGAGAGTTTGTGGTAAGATTTGCAAGAAGACAGACCAGAGATGCCATATTAAAAGCAACTTCAGCAACCCCACTGAAACTGGGAAATACAATTATTAAGACTTTAAAGGACATTCCATTTGAAATTCGTCAAAAAAGGAAAACCTACAAGAAGATGCTCAGAAAGTCTTCTCAAGATAACTAATTTACTAACATAGAAGCAATGCAAAGCAAGAACTCTACAAGTATATTGCCTTATTAACAAATGTAATAATAACATTTAGTTTAACTGGGTTATGATCTCTCACTCTCAGGTTTTTAGTTAGTGTGGGTATCTTTCCTTTATCCATAGATGTAGCCCCTTCCCTTTTTTTCTTTGTAGTTTTGTAGTCTATTGAAAAACAATAAAAATACCCCTTTGGGGGTTTCAAAAAAAAAACCCAAACAAAACAAATTATGGTTTGCTGTAAACCTGGAAGTATTTAACTATCTGGTCACATGATGCAGGTGAATGTGCACATCAAGATCTTACAGGTTTGTTCATACTCTAGTAACCCATGATTTGCTAAAAAAAACCCAAACAAAACAAATTATGGTTTGCTGTAAACCTGGAAGTATTTAACTATCTGGTCACATGATGCAGGTGAATGTGCACATCAAGATCTTACAGGTTTGTTCATACTCTAGTAACCCATGATTTGCTGTTATACCAAAGCAGGCGTCCCTTTTCCACATATGAGAAGAAGGCATTGTGCCTGAAAACACTAGGGGCACTTCCCCTTCCCCTTCTGCCTATTCTGAGACTGCCACCTTCTGTCTGTTTTGCATCAAGGTAGTGAATAGGTTTTTGGACATCAGAGCTAAAAAAGCAGAGTCATCAAGGGAAGCAGGGCCACGTCTAATTCAATCATACTAACCAGAGAAGCTTCACTTTGTCCAATGTCCAACAATCAGATCAATAGTCAAGAATGGCCTGTATTTTAATTATCGTATTTCCATTTCCTTTACCTAACAACAGGATCCATGTGTGTGTGTGTATATGTGTGTATGTGTGTGTATATACATACACACATACACACACATACACACACACAAGACTCAGTTCTATATCCCAAACTGTAAAGAGGTTTGGGACATCAGAGAATGTCAGGACAAATTAGCTGCTTCCACTGAAGGATTAAGCATCTTAATTGCTATGAGATTTGCCATTAGGTTCCTCACACAAGACAGGTAAGGAATAAAATTCATTTGACAAACTGGGTTTTGCCTTACAAAAAGTTATAAATTATTTAAGATGCCACATCACTCTTTGTAGTCTTGAATCTGTAAACCACCTGATTTTTTGTATACTGTTTCTCATATGTCTACAGTCCGTAATGGTGTGGTGGTTAGTATCGGACAATGGTCTAGGAGACCCAGTACAAACCCCCACTTTGCCACGGAAACTTGATGGGTGACCTTGGGGCCAGTCACACTCCTCCAGCCTAACCTAACTCACAGGGTTGTTGTAGAGATAAAATGAACAGATTGATGTAAATTGCTTTGGGTCCACACTGAAGAGGAAGGTGGGGTATAAATGAAGTAAATAAATACAGTCTGCCCAATACCTTGATATCACTAGTGGGGGGGGGGAATGTGAATTATCTCGTTTCTTTCACAGTAGCCCTATGCTACTGTGAGTTATGTCTCAATCCTTAAATCATGGCTAAGTATTGTGTGTCAATCAGGAAGTGTGTATTTGCTTGTTAGCCATCGCCTGTTCACCATAAAATGTGTTTGTTAATCACAGCTAAATGTTAAAGTTACATCAAAGCATCCATAGTTAAGTCTCTTTCAGTGCATCTCCAGCTTTTTTGCATTTAGGGTAACAGAGTTAGCTGGTCGCGCTACATGCCTAGAGATAGGATCTAACTCAGAAAACTAAACCACTGTTTCACTCAACCAGCATTACATCAACAAACTATTCTTATGCCTAAAGCTAGGTAAACATTATGCCAGCACTGGGCTACTGAAGACTAGAGTATAATCTTTGAGGCACAAAATGAATAAATCCTTTTTGTTAAGAAATAGATTGCGAGTCCCCTAGGACTGCTGGCAGATCTTGCACATTTATTTCATACAATTTTGTTACTCCCATTCACAAGCATTAAAAAAATCTAATACTAGCAGCTTTTCTCTCGAATATGAAGATGAGTTAACAAAAAAAATTTAAGGAAACAAACCTGTTGATGTTTTAGACAAAAAAAGGAATCAATGAAAATAGTTAAAAGGCTAATTAAAACCTAAGGGGAACTTTTGATATTGGATGAAGCGATCATTTACATCCCAGTGGGAGAGAAGAGTGATTTCTTCCACAAGTAAATATAATCTTACACTTCAACCACATGACTTTATTGGTTTCCAAACAATTTACTTTCTCAGTTCATTGCCTACAGTATAACTGATTATGTGAGAAATAATAATTTGGTGAAACTTATCACAGAGCTCAATAATTTAGCTAATTTTAATAAGCAATTGTGTCCCCTGATGCAGGCCGTTTATCTTAATTATTACTGAATGTGCGAAATACAAGAAGTCTACAGAGGTCTCCTACCCTTCCTCAGAAGCTTGGCTTTAGTACACAGCCTGTTATAACAAATCTTGTCACAAACATAATTGCTGTATGCTGCAGAGTGCCTGCCCCTTGATGATGTGCTCATCGGGCATCACCAGCCCTTATAGATGCTGTGCACCTTTCCCACTTCATATCTTTAACCCCACAGTCAGCCTGTACAGCTGTCTGGAAAGCAGTGAGCTCCCATGTAGAAATGCTGTATGTGTGGTGGATCACTCAGGCGATTACAGCAGTCTGAAAACTTGAAAACAAGTTAAAAGATGCATTAATTTGTTCTGTTCCATTTTGTAAATCAACACTGTAGTGGGAATATTAGCATTCTTCAATGTGAACTGGAATTATAATAGTTCAACTGTATCACACTGAGTACTGAAACTTTGGGTGATTCCAGACCAGTTGATTGTGGGCAACTGTAATCATAACAGTGTTTTCAGATGGCAGTGCTAAAAATCCAGATTTCTCCTGGTCTTTCAAGGATTCACTCCCAATTTTTCCAGGAACTGATTTACATTGATTCTCTCCCCCTCCCAACTGTTGTGTGAAAGAAGTGCATTTTCTCTGGTGTGGATAGTTTTTGTACCACTGTTCTGGTTGACCTTTCCTGTTCATTGCAGCTTCCAGGTTACCTTTGATGAGTGCAGCAATAGCTGCTGCAATTACCTTTTCTCCTTAAAAAAGAATCCAAATTTTTAAAATTTGCACTGAAACACTATCAACACTTTGCTAACCTGACACAAGAGGGTTTGTATGAACAGGTAAAGAAATTCCACTAGCAGCCCGTTACTAAAACAGGTCTGTTTGAAATGACAGAAAAAATCCATTAGCAACTATTTACTAAACAGAATACAAAGGCAGTTTGAAAAGGGTCTATGTATATATCTCTTAAACTGCTCGTATGCTCCAAAAAACAACATAAATGTGCAATATGATCTCTAATGCCTCTTCCTCTTCTGAATCCAGCTTAAACATATTTTATATATATTATTTTGAACATCATTTTATATAAACCTTATTTGAAATGCTGCTTTAATGTTTTAAACGTTTCAATGTTTTGATGTTTACCCCCCTAGGGACCCTATTTGGGTGGAAAAGAGACACAAAAATGTTACAAATTAAAAAAATACAATAAATAAATAAATATTCTGGCCAGCTTTCCACTCTCTTTGTTAAGAGGTCTTTACTAGCCATGCTACAGAAACCCATTGTAATTGAAAATGGCAGGGATTGAACTTGGGAGGCTCCTGTACTTGTGCTTGTGCTCTTCCACCGTGCTGTGGTACCTCTCTAAACCACAAAGGTCTTGGCAACTATATAAGTCTTGCTATGGTCTTGCAGCTGTATGGATGTTCCTGATAATTGCTCTATCATTGTCTTCTACCAGTGGGGGAAGACTTTTTTGTTTCATTTGGCATTAGTAACTTTTATTAGCCCTCCTCCCTGTTTATGTGTTTTTATGTGTTGATGTTTATTTCTTTGCTTTAAATTCTTATATCTCTCTTTATATATAATTGAGGTGGCAATTTCCACCTTTCCCATTGGCTGTGCAATGCGCTCCATCAGCCATTGGCCTGTCAGCTGCCACTCAAGAGTACTCGCATGACATTGGCCAGGTGCTGGGTCGGCTCCTCTTCCCCACCCACTTCCACCTCAGCCACTGTTTCCTGTCAGAATTACTGACAAACAGCTGTCTCTCCCAACAAAGACACTTCTCCTGCTTGGCTCCTCTGTGGAACTAACTTTTCCCCCAAAGGCTGCTGGTAGAAGGAAACCCTTTTCAGGCCTTTGTGAGGAACTTACTGGGGCCCGTCCTGACTAGGGATGCCAGCTTCAGGTTGGGAAATTCCTGGATATTCTGTGTCTAAGGAAGCCAGAGTTTGGGAGGGGAGATGTCTCAGCTGAACAGAATGACATAGAGCCCACCCTCCAAGGCAGTTATTTTCTCCGGGTGCGGGGGGGTGAGGATCTGTTGTCTGGAGTTCAGTTGTGATATCCGGCGATCTTCAGGTTCCACCTGGAGGTTGGCTACCCTAGGTGTAGCAGTTAGAACTTCAGAGCAGGGTCTGCCTGGCAGAGATCAGTTCCCCTATGGCATTATACCCTGCTGAGCTCTTCCCCTCCCCAAACGCTGCCCTCCACAGGATCCACCCCCCAACTCTCCAGGTATTTCCCTACTCAGAGCTGGCAACCCTACTTTACCCTCAGTGACTGTTGCTAGACAACCAAGCTTGGTTCTGTCAGGAAAAGGCCCTTTCCACACCTATTTTGGCCTTTGGGAGAAAACTCATTGGGGCCAGTCCTAACTTGGGTTGCCAGCTCCAGGTAGGGAAATTCCTGGAGATTTTATGGTACAGTCTATGACGCCTGGCAATCTTCAGGCTCCACCTGGAGTTTGGCTACCCTAGGCGTAGCAGTCAGCACTTCAGAGCAGGGTCTGCTAGACCCAGGTTCTTGCTGTGGAAGCTGAATGGGTGATTTTGGACCAGTCACAGACTTTCAGCCTAACCTACCTCACAGGGTTGTTGTGCAAGTCAAAAGGGGGTGAAGAGAATGGTGTAAGCTGCTTTGGTCCCCATTGCAGAAAAAAACTATACTTTTCCTCCCGGGGAACCATTGTT